GATGGTTCAGAAACTTGGCGCTTAACGGAAAGCACTCCCAACAAACTACAGAGATTCATCAACAGCAGCCGCTTACGCTCACTTGATACTAAAGATCAGATAAGAAGGCCATAATAATAAGAATAAGCAACACGGAACTAGTTCTGTCTGGCTGGCAACGAAACAACCAACCAACCAACCAAGAACCTATCACCCAGCAAATATGCAGTGGAAGAAACTGGAGATGGATTGGATGGGGGATACTCTGAGAAGGTCGATTGAGGACATCACACGTCGTGTCAAAACGTCGAGTGGAATGCAAAGAGGAAATGACGAGTTTGGCTTCCGAGGCGAGGTTGACATCGAGGAGAACATGTGAAGAAGAAATGAAAGGTTGTGGCCAGTGTTAGATGCAGGTTGAAAAGACTGCAGAGAAGAGAGTGGAATCAAGGTGTGCAACTGGGTCCCTATGTTCCACTAGAAACTCAAAGGACAAATGATAATAATAATTGTGACCAACCGATTTTCAGCTATGTCACATGTTCCTATCTTTTCGAAGACTGACCAAAAGTAAGAGACTTCATCGAATGTTGACTCACCTTGGTCTGGCCGCCTTGAACCCTTTTACTAACCTAATTCAACTTACTAAAAGTTTACTAAAATTACTTTTCATCATCATGTTCAGCTGTATGTGTGTGTGTGTGTGTGTGCATAGGTGATTTTCACCAGGCGCATATCTCTGTTTTCCTGAAGCTATGCATTAGTTTCATATTCTATACTACAGATACCATCAATTAAACAGCACCTTAACCATTGTTTATATACATACGTTGTAACGAAGGTGGAATCATTGAAACAGTTTGTAATCTACTGACCTAACAACTTAAGATTAATAAAATAGTCATATGTATATATCTTGGTGACTAGCAGTGGAGTTCAGCTTGATACATGTTCTGTTCAATTTGGAACTTCTTAACTGGATGTCCCGGCAACCAAGTGAGTAATGTTGTTCCCATTGACACTCGAACATAGTACCCATCGCTTCAAAGGCCAAAATGTTATCCACTAAGCTATATTTTGTGCGTTGGGCATCAGTTGTTGTTTTATGTTACTATACAAGGCCGAATTGTTCAACCTGTTCTGTATCATCAACTTAACCTGTCGACATGAGTGGCTACAGTTCATTTAGGCTAGCTTGAAGCTACATCTGCTGAAAAGATCACTTTTGATATCCAAGAGCAATGGTAACCCACTCATTGCGCAACATGAAAGTCCTGAGTTTGACCCCAGAATATCAGTGGTTTTTCAACTGTTGTCAGTTCGTACTAAATACCACCTCAAAAACCTCCATTTAGAATTGCTGTCCAGTAATCGTTATCGGTATGCTCCGAGGTGAAAGTTCCCGAAGTTCTACTGAGAAGCAGTGACTGGTTAGGCGAACCAATTCGGATCTTGACCAACGTCGATTAAATTAACCCCGAAGCTGGTAAACATATCTGACGTTGGCACCATTTCACACTACTTAAAGAATGTTGTTAAGCAGTGTGAAATGTCTCCAGTGGTATATGTGGCACGATACTACTCTGAGATAATTAGCTTGATCATTAGTGTCGTGTATTTATTGATTTACTATGTGAACACCCCGTAACTAAAAAGAAACCAACATGGTATTTCGTAAAATTCAAAACACCTGGTTGAAGGGTTCCCATTCTCAGTTATTTGACAAATGGCAGCTATTTCGGTTTTACACGAGTTGGCTTCCAATTAAACAAATATGCATGAGAAAGGTGCACACGACAAACTGTGTTCTCCTTATGGCGAATAAAGCTCCAAGCTCCCGCGTATCTGTCCCGATTTCCATAGACGGGAGGCTAACGAGTTTCCAGTAAGGGTTATCTGGCTAATGATAGCCATATTTCACATTTTCTCCCCTACTAATATCAATTCTCGTCCCACCAGGGTTAAAATGGTGAAACTCAGGAATTTCAGCCTATAGTGGACAAATGACCAGATTTAGGAGTCGATCAGTGTCTGCCTCCGAAGATCCATTCCTTAGCCAAGGGGGATAATATAAGCTTCATTGATTTGAGTGTTTGACAGCGACGGCTAGTGCAGTCATAAGGGTGAATCTTATCAATGACTGGCAACATGTACTAGAGATAAAAACAAGCACGTTGGCCAACCCGGTCTTAATGGTCTGGTCATGTCATTCGCGAGAGACAGCAGGCATATGTCTAACTAGTTTTACAATCTCTTCTAAAGATAAAAGCTTTCACCCTAAAGACATTTCTTCCGATTTCACTAGATTACATGCTATCACTTTATAAACGCTCACTGGGTAACAAGTACCTTCAGTCAATGAATCCTAAACAGGCTCAAAGTCACAACATCGATTCTACCACTAGCCACTAATAAGTAAATTAAGAGGTAATCAATAATCAGGTTTTACTGAGACATCGGCATAGAAGCGAACAATAACAACCGGGAAATTACAAGTTTCGAATAATGATAAATTCTAGATAGGGTGAAATGACATGTCTCAGATCCCAAAAATGTAAGCAGTCATAAACGTACATCTATCTGTCACTATTTACCACTTATATGCCACATACCAAGTGATTCACAGTGGAAAGCTCAGTGGTGCTTTTGAAGTGAAGACAGGAGTAAAACAAAGTTGTCTCTCACTACCACCCATAATCTTCCTGATTGTGGTCGACTCAGCTGAATTGGATCATGCAACAAACTATGAGGAGCTAGAGGAGGGGCATACACCGTTTGATTAACGAGAAGACCCTAGAAAATTTGAATTTCGGCAATGATGATTTACGATTAATTTCTAATGCCGCACAGTCTCGAAGATCTACAGGCGAAAACTAACAAGTTGGCAGAAGACGAAGCAAAGAGGTAGAGAAGACGGGACTTCCTTCAGGTGAACGCAGAGAAGATACAGGTGATGAAGATAATCTACCACTACCAACAACAACAGGCACCAATCACCATAAATGGGAGAAATCTAAAGAAAGCTGTATTTTTCACCTACTTAACTAGGTAGCATCGTCTCAACTATGGGTGGCACAGTCACACATGAGGATGTCAAAGCCAACCAGGTCAGGAAAGACAGCAGGATAGGTCTGCATTCGTCAACGTCTGCTTACGCTCGATACTGAAGACCATATCAGATGAGAAAGCCAGAATAATAAGAATAAGCAAGAAGTAACTCACTCTGGCTGGCTGACTGGCTGGCTGGCTGTGTGGCAACGAACCAACCAGCGGAGAACTCATCGCCCAACAAATATACAGTGGGAGTAAGTGGAGATGGATTGGACTGGATTGAACATTGACTGAGAAGACGGTGTGGGGACATCATTTGGCAGGTCAGGTCGTCGAGTGAAAGCCGAAGGGGAAAGGATGAGTTGCACCCCCGAGTCGAGGTTGATATGGAGGAGATGGTGTTTGAGTAAGAAATGAAAGCTTGTGGGCATTGATGGAGTCAGGTTAAAGCAGAAGACTTTAGAGAATAGAGTGAAATGCCTATGTGCTACTGACGTCGTATGTTCCACTAGGAACCCAAGGGACAAATTATATATATATATATATACGATTTATACACTAAGATATTTCGAACAAAGATTAGAAAAAGTATTCATGTGGTTATTCTTTTTTTCATATTCACATCTGATCTGTCTGATTTCATTCATTTTGTTTAGTTGAATAAGAATTTGCAACTACAGTTTAGTCAGTAAACTTTAAATTCTGAAAATAATAACTTTTAATGTGAACTTTGTTATTCAGTTGATTCAATAAAAACTTCACTTATCACATGTACATTCTTAAAATTGTGAACTACGCAGGGTTTAATGTTCAAGTTATTCAATCATTGTGTTCAATCATTTCTTTACAGTTTGAATATTGATTCTAGTGTTAAAATAATAATAATAGGAATCAGTCGGTGTAAAATCATGTTCTGTTTAAATTTTGTACTTGTTGGCAATCACCAGTAACCTAGTTGGTAATCATGAAAGGATTAAATGTGCATCCTGGATTCCCCACTGCTAGCCAGCCACTGCCTATCATTACTGTACATAATTAAAAGACAGGCAATATCGAGGCATCCACACAGTAGCCCATATTTCAAAAGAGAATGATCAATTTTGGTCCAATCAACGACGGTATAATACAAGCAATAATACTGTTTTCTAGGTTGTTCAACCTTTGTCACATAGTAATGAGGTTAAACGCCTAACCACAACCAATAACTGGTCATTGTAAGACTTAGTTAGGCAAGTGAATTAGTCACTGTTGGCTAACCTTTGTAACTATTTACTCCTCAATGCTCAATACAGATGGTTATGTGTTATATAGATAAAAACAAGTCTGAACAATCAAGGGACCATCCTTTTCGTGATGGCTGGAGAGATATTTTTCCTATGTGTACTAAAATGTTGGTAACGTAGGTCGTGTAGGGCTTATCACCGATCACTTCCAACCTACCTGTTGTCAGAGATAGGTCTACATTCTAACCAGGATATATGATTAACATATAAGAGAAGTTCAACTTGAACCGTTAGACAATGATTCCTTGTTCCTCGTTGATACTGACTAACCGAGTTACTGATTCATTAATAGCCAATGGTGAACAAGATAGTAGAACTCATTGTCGAATGTAAGTAGTTAAATGTCTAATCCGTTAACTTCATGAATGACGTTATTTAGCGGTGACACTGATTGTATAACTGAGAAATCACGTGATTGCTCCAAGTAAGGTGGCTATCATGATTTATTCTGTTGATGTTCTATACCAACTGGATTGAAAGAATCAGCTAGTGCAGATCACTGAGTTATATATAAAAAATATATCCTTATTACTATCCATTACACTGTCATAAAATCAGTGACATATGAGATGTATGTTTCACATTGTCTGATACTCTTCAACTGCATTTTTGGTAATTAAAATTTTCTCTACTACTGACAAACTGTACAACTAGTGTTATCTTGTATTTGTTTACTTCATTGACCAGGAACTGATGAAAATCGTATCATTGAAATTCTCGGCCATCGTGATGTTTATCAGAGAATCCAAATACGTGACCAATATAAAGCATCATTTGGACAGGTAAGATGGTATACTTTTCATATAAAGTAAATTACACTTTGTATATGACGTTTCCGAGTTTCATTGAACGTCTGAAGTTTGTTTGAAGTTACCAAATCCTCTGCATGTAGTCAACAAGACAATCATTTTAATTCAGTCCACCGACCAACTGAGGCAGTTTCAAATATATTGACAGACTATTGTAGATTGTTCAATATTGAGTAAATTCCACGGTTTAGTTTGGAGCTGATGAAGACTTTATTTATATGAAGGTAGTAATCATCATAGACTGGTGGAACTGGGTTACAGGACTCTTAGATGAACAGTCACTCTATGTCGTAAGTAAACAAAAGTAGCTAACAGTGAATCACTAAACTCCAACCCATTAGCTGAATGGTTAACTTGTTAGTGGCTAGACAAGAAGGTAGTGAGGTCAGCGTCGACAAGGTTATCATGGCGTACTGTTTAGAAATTCTATAACACTAATCACTACAACAAAGTAGAAACAGATTGAAGTTGAGAGCAGTATGGAGATTCTATAGTAAATATGTTAATTTGATATACGACACACAGTGATACCGTATTATTTACTAGATGACGTTTCGAGTATAAACTACTGCTCATAATCTCATCATTATATCCACGCAGCTGACGACATCTGTCACCTCATATTCTTTGTTTACGTTGGTAGTAAAATTTTCTATATCCATGGCATGTAAAAAAGTTGCGTCATTCCTATTACATGTATTGGGTGGAGGTTGATTCAATGAACAAAGATTCAGTAATCAGTATCTCACAATCTCCCTAATTATATTGGATCTAAGTACAGTGGTTTAATCTTATCCTACCTATTGTGTATTATAGTTTATTTTCTATTTGTTCCTTGGGTTCCTAGTGGAAAATAGGGTTTCAGTAGCACGTCTCCATTTCACTCTCCTCTCTGCAGTCTTTTCAACCCGGCACCACGATTGAACACAAGCTTTCATTTCTTACTCACACGATGTCTTTCATGCCACACTCAGATGCCCCAACTCATCGTCGTTTCCCATTTGGGTTCCATTCAAGCACCTGGCTTAGTCAGCGATGTCCCCAAACCATCATCTCAGTCTATGTCCAATCTGTATCTACTTTCTTCTCCCGCATATTTGTTGGGCGATGAGTTCTCCGCTGGTTGGTTCGTTGCCACACAGCCAGACAGCCAGGCAGCCAGCCAGAGTGAGTTACTTCTTGCTTATTCTTATTATTCTGGACTTCTCATCTGATCTTCAGTGTCTGTATCGAGCGAGTGTAGTCCACACCTGTTCATGCATGTCCCCAGTTAATTGGGAATGCTTTTCATAACACACCAAGTCTCTGTCTCAACCATCACATGGAAGCACTGACTTGACTGACTGACATTACTGTTGAAAATGCAGATGTTGTTCATGCTTTATGCTGAGTGGAGTGGAGTGGAGTGGAGTGCAGTAGATCTCCACACTGATTCCAGATGAATGCAGGAAGATCTGTCTCACTGTCCTATTAATTCTGGGTGGCTTTGACATCTTCATGTGAGCCTGTGCCGCCTGTAGTTGAGACGATGCTGCCTATGTAGGCAGGTAGGTACGTGAAGGAGACAACCTCCTTTAGATTTCTCCCGTTGGTGATGACTGGTGCTTCTTGTCGTTGTTGGTGGTGGTTGGCTATCTTCATCACCTCCCTCTTCTCTACGTTCACCTGAAGTCCCGTCTTCCTTCGCTGCCCTACCTCTTCTGTTAACTTGTTAGTTTTCGCCTACAGATCTTCCGGAATGTGTGGCATTAGAAACTGGATATAAATCATCATCATTGGAGAAATCCAAATATTCTAGGCTCTTCCCATCAGTGAAACAGCTTATGCACATCTTCTGAATGCTCCTCACAGTTGTTTGTTGCATGATCCAGTGTACTGTTATCGACCACAATCAGGAAGATCATGGTTGGTAGTAGGTGAAGACCTTGTCTTACTCCTTCCTGTCTTCATTTCGAAGGCATCATTGAGCTTTCCACTGTGAATCGCTTATCATATGGCATCTTCATATAACTGCTGAATGAGGTTAATAAAGGTTTGTGGCACTAAAAGCGTAGTGTTGACGCAGCTGCCTGCCAAATTACTTCTCAGTCGACACTGTCGCAGGTCTTTTCAAAGTCGATGAAGTTGATACAGAGATTTCCAATTTGATTCGCACATGATTTGTTCTTTCCGAATCCAGCCAGTTAGCCTGTTGCGGTCATAATTTTTAATCCAGCGCATCGTTTAATCTTTCCAGTATCTTAGTATTCTTTGTCAGCGAATAATAGAGGAATCCAAGGTATGTGTTTCATCTATCGTGAGACTTGTCAGCCGGATACATTTACTTCTGATGACTAACAACACAGGATACCTGACTATCGGATAACGGTTCTGTGTTCGAAACAACAAATGTTGGCGACTATTCTGACGGGTATACGAAGAGTCGTACCTGATGACTCGTAGACATCTTGTTATATAAAACATTTGTTTTTTAGTAATTGCTAAATGGAATAAATAAACATGTAGGATGTTAAAGTAACAAAAATCTACTTCATTGTTTTATGTTTATTCAAAGTGTGAATCAGTTTAGTTACTTTTAAACTGAACAAATTTAAATTGTATGTAGGCTGAAGGAAACAAGAGGGTTTTCTGTTTATGTATATTTACAGGATATCAAGTTACTTCTTATTTTGATTACATATTCTTGGTAAACTTAATCATTATGGTTAGCAAAACCAATCTGTTTTTGTTACCTATATACCAATAAAGTTTTCATTAAAAGACATTACATAATAGAGATCAGTTTCAAGACATTCAGAGATAATTAAGAAATTAGAGCATCCATATCGACGCCCGAGTGGAGCTCGGGAACACCAAGCCCGAGAAAACCAGGCAGGCTTTAGACCTGGCCGTGGATGTATCGACCAAATATTCACACTGCGCCAGGTCCTGGAACATAGGCATGCTTACAGACGCCCGACAATAGCTGTATTTCTCGACCTGAAGGCGGCATTTGACTCCGTTGATCGAGAAGTCTTATGGCAGTGTCTGTCACTGAAAGGCGTGCCTAGTAAGTACATCACCTTATTGAAAGCTCTCTACTCGAACACTTGTGGGCATGTTAGAGCCTATGGTGAGTTGTCCAGGGAGCTATACTCATCAAGTGGTGTCCGTCAAGGATGCCCACTATCCCCATTCTTATTTAATTTTATCATAGATATTCTTATGGAGGTTTCCCTCTCGTCACCTAATTACAAAGACGTTGACCGAATCACAGGTGAATTTTCCTTAGATCTAGAATATGCAGATGACATAGTCCTGTTAGGTGAAGACGCTGACAAGATGCAGAGTCTTCTGAACACTTTGAGTGGGAATTTGAGAATGTTTGGGATGCGATTTTCACCACCCAAATGCAAATTTTTGCTCCAGGACTGGTCTTCAGCGGTACCGCGGTTAACAATAGAGAGTGAAGTGGTTGAGTGTGTTGACCACTTCACTTACCTGGGAAGTAGGATCAACCCGGTGGGTTAGTTGCCGATGAGATTTCTGCACGGATACAAAAGGCTCGATTGGCTTTTGCCAATTTGCGCCACCTATGGCGCCGCCGTGATATTCGTTTGTCTATTAAGGGTCGCGTGTACTGCACAGCAGTCCGCTCTGTTCTACTGTATGGCTGTGAAACATGGCCATTGAAAGTGGAGGATACAAAAAGGCTTCAGGTGTTTGACCACCGTTGCCTTCGTAGTATAGGACGTATTCCGTGGTGTCACCATGTGAGTAATGCAGAAGTTAGGTGTAGAGTTTTGGGGAGAAGAGGTAAGTCAGTCGACGAGGTTGTGAACCTTCATCGACTGAGATGGTTGGGACACGTACTACGTATGCCTAGTCACCGATTGCCTCGTCACACAATGTTGGCTGAGGTGGGTTCAGGCTGGAAAAAGGCCCGAGGTGGCCAGACTAAAACATGGCACCAATGTATGAAGTCTCTGACTGTTGGTTTAAGCCATGTAGGACGATGCAGACTAGGTGGTTGGGGTCCACGGGACAAGAGGAACCAGTGGTTGGAGACCCTAGGTGATATGGCTCAGAACCGAAGTCAGTGGCGCAGATGTATACACACATTATCCTCATCTTAACAACGCTATACCGAATCTCACTATTTTGTCACTCCTCTTTCCTTTCTTCTCGTACTTTATATTTCTTTTGACTGCATTCACTTATCTTCATCCTTCACCTCACTACCTTTTTACTTGATGTGCTGATATGAGGTGTGGCAACTCGGACCATTACGCAGTAATGCCTGGTCCTATGTTGATAATGATGATAATGATGAGACCATCCATATGATCAAACTTGGTAGAATCGTAATGGTCTTGTCTATTCTACACCTGTTCAAATTATGCAGATCAAGGTGCAAAACTTAATCCCTTGATTTTCTCTTTACTTTACCCTTAAAAGACATTCTCATTCAAGTAAGATTTCTTTCCTATGCAAAGATCTCATCCACCTCTGGATAATGTAGAATGATGGTCAAATATCTTACAACTTCATTCATTAATTTTACATGGTCTACTTCTTAGATGAGTTTTTGCTATCCAGGAAGAAAGAATTTTCTCATATTTAGGTTTTCTCACATTTCATCAAGCAATGATCAATGATTGTATCATATCTTTATGGCATAAATTCCCATTTAGACATTTAGTAAAACAAACAATGTGAGCGAAGAAAGCTTTTCTTTCCAATTAATTCATCATCAATGACCAGACACTAAGATATGTAGCATTTTCAAAAAACGTGAAATTACATACCAATCTAATGGGGAAAGTTGTTTACTAACAGGTAATCAAACTCAAAGTATCAACAAGGTGATAGTTGATGAAGTAATTAAGACAATCAACTAAAGCATTGGAGATTAATTATAGTAGAAAGATTTTGTGAAATTTTCAACAGGTTCTCACATCTATTGTTGACATACTTGTTATTCTTCGTTGTTATGTTGTCCTGCATCGAATTGTTCCACCTATATTGGAATATCGGCTCTTACGCGGATGCCTCGATATTACCCGAATATCAATCATGCCGGTCTAGTTGGTTGTGGCTAGCAGAGGAATACAGGATGTGCGTTGTGTTTTATTTGGGACTAGTCAGCTGGATGCATCTGCACTCCAGTACGGAGCGGTGTTGTTCCCACTGAAACTCGAACCTCAAACCCATCGCTTCAAACACCAGAGAGTTATCCACTATACCACGGAGGAACGATAGCCACTCCCTGTACAACGGCTAGTAGTTAGCACTATTGATTGATGTATACTTGTAATTCTCCGTTGTTTGTTGTGTTGGATCGAATTGTTTCACCTCTGTTGGCATATGGGCTGGCTGATATGCGGATGTCTCGATACTGCCTTAATGTCAATCATGATAATTTGATTGGTTGTGACGCGTCCTGGATTCTTCTGCTAACCACAACCAACCAGATTATCATGAGGTTCTTACATCATTTTTATTTTGTACATGTTGGTAGCTAAAGAGCTAACATGAATTGTTACTTGAAGTGGTAAATTGTTGGCAGTAATTAGAAACGGCAGGAGGAGGATAAGATGATTAAATCTGTAATAATAATAATAATAATAATAATAGTAATAATAATAATAATGGAGCTATTGAAGTAATAGTTATAATCATCTGTGGGATGAATGAATTGTAGGGTCTTGTTGTGATAAATGAGCTATACGGATAGCCAAGGCGAAGAATAAGGTTGCACGAATTTCTTTTGAACACATAGACTTGGCTTGTTTATGTGGATTCCTATAGCTTCTGTTGTGTGTAAAAAAAGAACTTTGTGGAGCATGGGTGAAGTTAGAAAGATTGTTAAAAATAACAGTAAGGCAGGTCTGTCATCGAATCACCGAGCATCATTCTTCATGGTCAATTAACGGACAAACTAGATCGATACGAAGATCAATACTCTCGTATCTGTTTGACATTGGTCACCGAGTTAATATTCATAATGCCTTTAAGTTATGTATCACATTCCTTCGTACGCCCAACTCGTCGCTTCCTATCTGGGTTCCACTCAAGCATCTGGCCTCAAGAGTGATATCCCCGAACCGTCTTCTCAGTGTATGCCCAATCCAATCCATCTCCACTTCCTCCAACTGCATATTTGTTGAGCGAAAGGTCCTAGCTTTATTGGTTTGTTGACAGAGTTCCTTGTTGCCTACTCTTATTATTCTCACCATCTGATATTCAGTAACGAGTGAGCGTAGGCAGTTGTTGATGAATGTCTGTAGTTTGTTGGGAATGCCTTTCATAATGCACCAAGTCTCTGAACCATCACATAGCAGCACTGACTTGACTGAATTGGTGTTGAGGATCCGGATGTTGTTCACACTTCGTGCCGACTGCAGTGCAGTAGATCTGCACACTGGTTTCAGATTAATGCGGAGAAGCCTGTCTTGCTGTCTTTCCGATGGTGGCTGGCTTTGACGTCCACGTCTGTGCCTGTGGCGCTTGTGGTTGAGAGAGTGCTGCCTAGTTGGCAGGTGAGAGAGGCTACTCCGTTTAGGTTTCTGCCATTGATAGTGATTGGAGCTTGTTGTTGTTGTTGGTGGTGGTGGTGGTGGTTGGGTATCTTCATCACCTCTATCCTCTCTACGTTCACCTGAAGTCCCGTTTTCGCTGCCTGTTCTGTGAACTTGTTACTTTTCGCCTGTAGATCTTCAAGTTTGTGCGACATTAGACATAAGTCATCATCAGGGAAAACCAAATCTTCTAGGTTCTTTTACTCGGTCCAGCGTATTCCCCCCCTTTGCCAGGCCCTAATTTATTTGGTTTCTCTGTCTTTAACGAATACAATTGACTACCTTTATTTTTTACTGGTTCTTATTTCATCTTTTATAGGATTTAATACAAAGAATTAGTGGTGAAACAAGTGGTCATTTTAGAAGTTTACTTAAAATGCTTCTAACTGAAACTGCTGAAGTGAATGCTCGTGCTCTTTACAAAGCAATTAAAGGCGGTGGAACAGATGAAGATACAATTATTCAAGTATTGTGTACATCAACTAATAATGAAATTATGGAAATTAAAGAAGCTTATCAATCTGGTAAGTAAATTTTTATGCCTGTTGTCTTTAGAGTACTAAAGATTCATTGACTAATCTGTGGATAGTAATCGATTACATTTTGTCCAATTCTGAGTGTTGACTGAAAACTATCAATCATTCTTTAATGTTGCCCATCAGTCTAGATGGTTCACCATTGCAATGAACTGTGATCGATGTTTTTTGGTTGGAGGCAATTGATAGGAAGCCCTGTTAGACCGATATTTCATGCTTTGTGGTACGGGAAGTCAATCATAACTTGAACAGCTCACTGATGGTAATGTCGTTGACGTCAACACTGAATAAGGCGGAGTTAAAATGACAGGTTGGATATCAGTTATACCTAACTGACAAGTCTTAACAACCACAAGAAGGACTGCTTGCTGATTTCTTCCAAATAGCCATCATCTTTTGAATAATCTTACACTATACAACGTCATCTGTTAGTCTGAAGTATTGTAATCAGGATGTGTAATATTCATCATTGTATTTCTGAGCGACTGATAGAGAAGGAACTTGAACTGATGTACATTCATACAGTAAAATATATCAACTCCACTAGTGTTAAAATACCTAGATTCCAAGTAGAAAGACTACATGAAATTCTTTATGTATACAGGTGTTCGTTATTGATAGGTATTATTGCAAACAGCGTGTAATGTAATTTGTTGTTTGGTGCATTAAACGGGTAGTATGTTCTATATAACTTCATTGAATTTTAATTTTTCAGTGCTAATAAGCTATGGGATCAATGGTAAGTTGAACTGTTTCATTACGCTTAATTTTGCCTGATATTTGCGTATAATTGTTTTTGTTTTTCCCACTGTTTCTGAAGGCTGAACTCTAATTGGTTATTTATCTCTTTTAAACTATTAGTGGATTTAATGTTGTCAAGGTCATTTAGAATAGTATATATATTCAGCATCGCTTGCAGTTATTGCTTTTACCCGTGATACTAATACATTGTTATGTTTCATTTGAAATCATACCAACGATCGTTTTATAAAATCTACGCGTTAGGCTGAGCGGTTTAAGCTGTGTGAGCTGAATTTCTTCAATTTAGTTCCAAACAAGCGGGGAGATCACCCCGTGATTAAATCACTCTGGTCTAGATGGCTGGTGAAGTCCACAGACCAATTTGAGTAGTTTCTAACTACTCAATTTGTTAAGTAGTAGTATATTTCGCTTGTTCATGACACTTTGTGTCAGACACCATACCTTATGATCCTGGTTGGATGGTTTTCAACGGAAAGCTTGTTGATACTGTCACAGATAGGTGGCAGTTAAAAAACTACTCAGGTGTCAGAAAGGTTAACGTGGACCATAGAGTTTAAATGACAAATGACAGTGAATTGAAGACGATTCATTACGAAGAATAAAGGTTCAGCGATATTCAAAGATATCTCATTAGCTTTTACAAGAAAAAAATTGTTTGCTCCGTCACCTTATTCGCGAATTTATCAGTCAACCTCATCTTCTAAGTTTGTGTTATGATAAGTACTGAAAAAAGAAAGATGCTACACTCTCGCGACCAGTCAGTGCATAGAAGGAAGATGTATCACAGAGTCTGACCATTAATGGTCAGCGATCTGAGAAGGTTTTCGGTATTTGACCACCGCTGTCTTCGTAGCGTCAACGCGTTTGTAATTTACAGGTAACATATAAGATTTTGAGGGACGACAGAAAAGCCAGTCGATGAGGTTGTGAACCTTCATTAGTTCAGGTAGTGGTGAGACTTAGAAGTGGTATCACTGCATGAAATCCTTGACTAGTGGTCCGAGATGTGTTGGAAAATATAGTTAGTGATTGAACAGCTAATCATTTTGTTATTTTCCCAAGATGATACGGGGTTGCGTTTCAATCCTTGTTTACCATACCCCTTTTGTAGCTCATGACATCAAAATGGTTTACAAAAATATATTTACTACTATTATCATTTGTCCCTTGGGTTCCTGGTGGAACATAGGGCTTCAGTAGCACGTCGTCATTTCACTCTGTTCCCCCCAGTCTTTTGAACCTGGCTCCATGACTGCCCATAAGCCTTCATCTCCTCCTTACATGATCTTTTCCATGTCACCTTCAGACACCCAACTCGTTGTTTCCCCTTTGAATTCCATCTGGTGAATTCCATGTTGCTTTGTGAATATCCTTGTGTCTGTACACATTGCTTCTCTCCAACCATCAAATCGTTGGATGCGCAGAAGTCTGCAAACAGGTCTCCATTTTCGTTCATTTCACCGAGCGCATCTTGACCCATGATGAGTTCTCTTCCTGTGTTGTTTGCTCCCAGTTTGGCATTTATTTCATCCCTCCCATTAGAATGGATTTTGATGTCGACAACTTGAGTAAGGTCTTATCCAGTACTGATTGCAGCTGTTTTTAGAATTCACCCTTCTTCTCTTGATCTACATTATTTGTAGGTGCATAGCGTAGCGTGGCACATTGTATGACTGTGACTTTCCTTCCTTTTCAGTTGAATCTTGCTGTCATGATCCTGATCCTGCAGGAGGAGATTACTTCCCACTGTATGAGAGCCTTCGATGTTCTTGGGGACATCATGATAGCCACTCCCTCAGTGTGCTCGTGACTGTCGTCTGAGTGACCGAAGTAGATTATTGACTCCTCTTCAGTTAATAGTTTGGAGAGTCCACTTCCATTCCATCTACTTTCGCAGATTCGTAACACTTCTATGTCATATCTTCGCATCTCTTTGACAATCTGGGCAGCCTTACTAGCCAGCTTCAAACATTGTGTGAACATTCCGTGTCTCCATTCTTACTTTCATCGAGAGGAGACAAATCGGCCGACTGGCTTCCTGAAGGCTTTCACCAACCGGCGTCATTTTGTCTCTCCGATTCCAATGAAGAATAAGTTTGTTTGTATTTTTTATATTTTCTTTGTGCTTAGAAGTATCTTTAGCGATCGGATTGGTTTTCCTGTGTAGGGTTTCTAGCCCTATACCCAACCTTCCTTCTTTATCCGGGCTTAGAACCGGTTAGTAATTGGTGAACTAGTTAACCAGGTGAGGTTTTAAGAAAATATAACTCCGTTGAAAATCTTTTCCTGATTTTTTTTTCATTTCGAAGAGTTTGAAATTGTAAGAAAAAAAATTTCATTCATACTATTCTAGTACATTTCTCTTCAAAACAGATCCTACAAGAACTCTAGAAAGTGATGTTGAAGGAGACTTAAGCGGTTGTTTCAAGAATTTAGTTATTGCACTACTTCAAGCTCAACGTGAGGAAGCAGATTTTGAAGATGTGCAGAAAATTCCTACGAGAGGACTTAGCAGTGTAGTGAATATGTCACAGGTGGAAAAGGATGTTGACACTATTTGGAATGCTGGTGAAGGGTAAGCTATATTATTTTCCTAGGTGTAAAAATTTCTTTATTCACAGATAGATAGATTTCTTGGATAAAATGATGGAGATGAAGGTGTAGAATGTGGACTGCAAAAGCATTTTGAGGCAGAAGAAGGCAATTTCTCAATATCCCTTACATTTCATGAGTATTCTTGATACAAGCACACTCATGATAGTATTTATCGAGAGAAATACCCCAAGGGCATAAAAGGTGACACTATGACTCTCTTCATTAGGTTGGACACTGAACACTTTGTTTAAATTTGGATACAACACTAGTGGTAAATCAAAACCTTAGCCTGTCATTGATTTCATTCATAGAATCGCTTAGACTTAAAGCAGGATCTCGAAAAAATGTATCCATGAACCTCTGATCTACTTATTTCCCCTGATTTATACATTCCCTGTTACTAAATAGGTACGTTGACAATGAAGATTCCTATAAAACTATTGAGGTTTACTTACTACCTAGACAATAATGCTGAATTCCAACCTCCAGAGAGAATTTATCTAGCTTTGAGAGGTGATTCTCGAAGTTTCAATCAAGTCGAACATGAAGACAGTTACTCAACGATGACATTGGATGTAGATCGCTCTATACCGTGAACCGACAGATTCCAACCCAGTGGCTCAATAGTAATGTGCTGGCCATAAAATCTGAAGGTCCTCGGCTCGAGCCCCCACGAGGTCATCCGTGCGCACTGCTGAGGAGTCCCATACTTGGACGAAACAGTTATCCAGTGCTCCTGGATTTTCATTGTCAGTCCACGATGAATTCAAAATGTAAAAATGGAAAGGAAGAGACTGAATCTTCTAGAGAAACTCCACTTTTATGACCTTAAATTATGAAGTGTCTAATGAATATTCGACAGTTGTTAAGCAGGATGACTAGTTGAGATAACACATCGCGCAGTAGCTATTCATCAGGCGAAACAGTGAGCCTGGGACTATAAACACTTTCTAACTGATATAAAATTTTTACATTAGACTTGTCTACTACGGACAGTTCTCATGCGGTAGAAATAACTTATTGAGTATTTCTTTAACTGATATTTCACTGGTTCATTGGACATTGAACTGTGCAAGACAGCATGCACTCCTGAAATAATAATCAGATTAACTCTTATGACTGTTTATATAAAGATTCTGAGGGTTTGGTAACGAGAAACATATAGATCCAATCCATTTGAGAGGTTTCACTATGACTGCTTTCGACACTGAAGCTTTCAAGCCATAAAATGTCATTCTTGAGAAATCAGGAATTCTCATATGAACTGGTATGTTTAGTAGGCTCGAAATTCGCTTCAAACCACATGAATTTTTGTATTATTTAGTTTACTACTTAATAATTATTATCAGTAGTTAATAGTCCATAAGGCTTAAAAAGGTACGGATTTGAATGAATTAACCCCTCAACGTATATACTTGTAGAAAATACAGCTAACTTGTAAATATTCATTTGAACATTCAAAAACTCATCAGCGACATGCTTCGAGATGATATTTCCCTAAGTTCTGATGAAGAGTTGTGACCTGTGGTACAAATCAAAGCAGACAGGAGGACAGATACTTGCCGACAGTATTAGATAATGGACGCTCTATGAGGTGAGTTAACAGAAGTTGGCCAACTTGGACCACTGGATTCTGCCCTAATGGCCCAATGATAACGTGTTTTTCATGAAGCCTGAAAATCCTTGGTTCGATTGCAAGAGGGGTTAGGGGTGCACGCTGCTGAGGGGTCCCATGCTAGGACGAGGCAGTCACATAGGGATCTCAGGCTTTCACTAGTTCTCCAACTGATAATAGTTCATGATATCATATTGAGAAAAGTTTAAGAATACAATTGAAACATTCAATTTAAGCATAGGTTGCGCCACAAATCTGAGTCAGAAATAGATCCGAAGAAAATTTGACAATAGCCAGTAGTCATTTCATTTTAAATCAGAAATTTATCAGAATGGTAAACCTATCGACCCAAATATTTACATGATTGAAGCTACTGAGTGAATAATTAAAAATATCCGGGTGATAATAACACAATGCAAAGTGGATACGAAAAGTAACTATCCTCCCTCAGTACCTTACATACTTCAATGAGCCACGAAAATTAAAAAAGGTGAAGACGGATCTTTGACTGCAAGGAAAAAAGTCATTTTCAAGGACATATAAAACTACTAATTTAAAAGTGAAATAGTTTATTTTGACTGGTCACTTTTAGGATAAACCATCCAATAGGGTTTTTCCTGACTACACAGTAACATAAAACAAAAAGTTAACTATAAAAACTGATAACTTGAAATATTGGTTTTCATTCACAGCATCTCTTGTCAGAGGAGATGACTTATCATTCTTATGTTGACTAATTTATCACTTAAACACAGTGTTGAAATTCAAAGATCAACACTCATCAACTTTGTAAAATCATTTATTCATTCATTCATTACGTTGATTATTGTTTTTAAAATGTTTTATTCAGGCAACTAGGAACTGATGAGTCAACTTTTATTAAAATTGTCGCAAACCGAAGTGTCTGGCATATACAAGCAATTGCAAAGAAATTTGAAGAGGTTTGTACATTTGTTCTACATATATATATATATATACCCTGTCTATCTGCCTGTCTATCACTCATCTACCTGTCTGTCTGTCTGTCTGTCTGTCTAACTTCAGCTGATCAACCTTAATGATGACAATGAATCACTGATATCTGACTTCAAAGAGGTCAATTCCTTCAGATTAGAGTCACAGCCCATAAATTGGGGCTAAATGAAGGTCATTAGTATCACTAATAAACATCTGAAGTATACTGATGAATCACTGAAGGTGAGAAATCTACCGTGACCAACTACCATCAAATCTGAGGCTTAAAGTTCAAATGTAGCATTCTACAGAGGCATATATTCTATCTGGAAGTTTGTGGGGATCTGTTAATTGATTTAGGTTGGAATTCAACATAGAAGAACAGATGTTCCCTCCTAGTATGGGAATCCTCAACAGTGGGCATACATGACCTTGCGAAAGATTGAATCTTGGACTTTCAGGTTCCGTTGCCAGCACGTTAGCATTGTATAAGCAATGCTGAAGAGTTCCATACGAGTCGGACGAAAAAGCTGTTCAGTACTCTCAAGTTTCCACTCTTCCTCCAACCAATGAGAAGTTGTGGAGGCAGGATCATGGGTGTCCACCGATGAGAAGTTTAGTGCTATCCAGGAAACTTTAGAGTTAATTTGTACTTCCTTATACAAGCTTATTCTCGGACATCATAACATCAGTAAAGCAGTCAGTAATCCTATTAAACATCACGCTGAGGATGGCGGTATGACCAGTAGTCCTAGTAACTAAGATCGTTTTGTTGATCCCACAACTTCCTTCATACAGTTCTACTTCATCCTAGTAGGTATTGTAATTACACACATATTACAGAGGTTAAACAGAAGACGATAGAAAGATCGGTGAGTGTTTTCTCACTCCAACTTCAAGTCTTTGAAAAGAAACCGTCTTTGTGCAGCTGATCATTCTCCAATAATACAGAGATCGCGTGATGAGAAGAAGATTATCTGAAGCATGTCGTGATATATTAGTGCCATACACATTTCAAACAATCGTATCACACATCGACTTCTCGAACTATTTACGAAAAGGGTCATTTAAGTTGTCAATCGTAAACATGGGAATAGAAAGGGAAGAGAAAAAAACCTTAATCATATTACTGTTGTTATGAAAATTAAAGTTAATACTACCATGGTAGGTTCAGTGTGAGTAAAAATTGTTTTTGTATCCAAGATGGAACATAGGGCTTCACTAGCACGTCTCCATTCCACTCTCTTCTCTGTAAACTTTTGGACCTGGCTTCATGACTACCCAAAAGCTTTCATTCCTTCCTCATATCATCTCCTCCATGTCACTGTCAGACGCCTGACTCATCGCCATTTCCCATTTGGGGTCAATCCAAGCATCTGGCCTAGATCGTGATGTCCCTAATTGTTCTTCTCAGTGTATGTCCAATCCAATCTATCTCCATTCTCTTCTTGTTGTTTATTCTTTCTGGCCATCTGATCTGATCTTCAGTATTGAGCGTAGGTGGCAGCTGTTGATGAATATCTGTAGTTTGTTGGTAATGCTTTGCGTGTGGCGCTAAGTTTCTGAGCCATATCGAAGGACTGATTTGCCTGACTTAATGTTGAAAATCCGGATGTTGTTCACGCCTTATGCTGAGTGCAGTAGATCTCCTCACTGATTTCAGATTAATGCAGGAAGACCTGTCTTGGTGTCTTTCCAATCCTGGCTGGATTTGACATCCTCATCAGTGCCTTTGTTGCTTGTAGTTGAAACGGTGCTGCTCATTTATGTAGGTAAAAAGACTATTTCCTTCAGGTTCCTATCACTGATGGTGATTGGTGCTTGTTGTTGTTAGTTGGGTATCTTCATCACCTCTGTCTTCTCTATGTTCACTTGAAGTTAGATGTTTATTCAATAGGGTAAACTGCATCTGCACCGATGACATCTGGTAGGAAGAAGCCAACTTACTGACAAAAACATTGATACAGAATGACTACCCGTTAAAATTTATTGGCAGGTGCAAAAGTTATGTATCATTGGAAAGTACACAGTTTTCCGTTGCTAAGACAAATGTGTATATCTCATTGCCACTTAGATATGATTCAAAATAGCATTATTGTGAAGAAAAGGCTTAGCCATTTGTAAAACATATTTTGCTGACAGAAGACAAAGTCTATGTTACAACACAAATCAAAACAACATATAAACGGTTACATCATATCCCACTATGTATATCAGTTTACTTGTGTATATGGAAGTACACACATACGGAGGAATAATCGTGATATGCTGCTAAGGAAGACTGAACACGTACCTAAGTGATTACAGAAACAAATAACCTCAAATGATCCGATGAATACAGGTGACAAACACCATCTTCATCTATCCCTTAACGTATTATTATTTATTTATTTATCCCCTAGGTTCCTAATGAAACACAGGGTTTGAGTAGCACCTCTCCAGTGAACTCTGTTCTCTGAAATCTTTTGAACCTGATTCCATGACAGCCCACAAGCTCTCATTTCCTCCTCACACGATCTCCTCCATGTCACCTTCACCCTCACCTCGGACGCCCAACTCGTCGCTTCCCATCTGGGTTCCACTCAAGCATCTGGCCTCAAGCGTGATATCCCCGAACCGTCTTCTCAGTGTATGCCCAATCCAATCCATCTCCACTTCCTCCAACTGCATATTTGTTGAGCGAAAGGTCCTAGCTTCGCTGGTTTGTTGACAGAGTTCCTTGTTGCCTACTCTTATTATTCTCACCATCTGATCTTCAGTAACGAGTGAGCGTAGGCAGTTGTTGATGAATGTCTGTAGTTTGTTGGGAATGCCTTTCATAATGCACCAAGTCTCTGAACCATCACATAGCAGCACTGACTTGACTGAATTGGTGTTGAAGAACCGGATGTTGTTCACACTTTGTGCCGACTGCAGTGCAGTAGATCTGCACACTGGTTTCAGATTAATGCGGAGAAGCCTGTCTTGCTGTCTTTCCGATGGTGGCTGGCTTTGACGTCCTCGTCTGTGCCTGTGGCGCTTGTGGTTGAGAGAGTGCTGCCTAGTTGGCAGGTGAAAGAGGCTACTCCGTTTAGGTTTCTGCCATTGATAGTGATTGGAGCTTGTTGTTGTTGTTGTTGGTGGTGGTGGTGGTTGGGTATCTTCATCACCTCTATCCTCTCTACGTTCACCTGAAGTCCCGTTTTCGCTGCCTGTTCTGTGAACTTGTTAGTTTTAGCCATTTTACTGGATAACAATCATTCGGACATAATCTATTGTCCATATTCATATCAGGTAACTTCATAACTTTCAGGCAGACTTTATATAGTCCCAATCACCTCTCCTTTTCACTGTGATGACAAGGGTGGTAGAATTTTCCACATATCTGTGAAGGATGCAGAATCATTCCCATTACTCCATGTATTTGATGTTGATTCGATAAACAAAGATTCAGTCGGTTATCAACCTCTCACTCCCTCCACCCAGCTAAGTTAGTTTTCAACACTGTCACCCTATCCCACCCTATTGTGTGATTGTGTTATTGTTTGCAGAGATATGGCCGAGCTCCGTTCTCTAAATTTCGTATCTTATTAGGGTATATGCATCTCAGTTTAGCTGTGTTTTTGTGCTCTTTTATTCTAATCAACCTTGACCAGTCGACTATTTTGATTCACCTATGTATTTCACCTCGAAATCATTGTAAGGGATCTGGTAAATTAAATTATTTTACTGAACTGCATCGATAGGATCTTCTAACCTATGAAGCTTGTTTGTGAGTGAGTTTGCTTGCTTGAATGCCATTTAAATCGCAGCCAGGTTGATGGACAAATCTTCGTAATGCTTCTGAGGTGCCTTCCTTGTATGGTAACACAGCAGAAGCTTTGAATTCGCTCTTAATCCAGTTGCCATTATTACCACTAGTAGTGGGATTATTATTAATAATACCTATATTGCTACTACTAACACTGCGTATACTTTTCTTTCGATTTCTTATGAAGTCATTTATAACTTTAGGGGGGTAATTATTGAGACCCAATGTATTTTTGATGTGTCTAACCTCTTATCTTAGATTTTCTGGTCTACTAGTAAGCATTTTTGCTCTATCACACCGGCATTTAACTAGGCCTACTTTAACTGAGATGGGGTAGGATGATTTGAAGATGAAGTAGCGATTTCAATGGGTAGGTTTCCTCTAGACACTAGTCTCTAAACTTCCACCTTATATTCGTTTAATCTTGCAATCCAACAGTGCTAGCTCACCTTCTTCACTTTCTAAGTCACAGGTGAATTGGACTGCATTCACTACTGAGTTTATATATGCCAAGAACCTACTGATGTATTTCAATTTCAGTAGTATAAACATATCATCTACGTACATGAACCATATCTTTGGAATAGGACTTAGTGTTTGAAGGGTCATCTGTTCCCAACTATCCATAAATATGTCTACGAGGATAGGGGACGATGGTGGTCCCATGGCAACACCTTCAGTTTGTTCACCAGATCCCTTACAATGATTTCGAGGTCAAGTACATAGATCAAAGCGGTCGACTAGTCAAGGTCGATTAGAATAAAAGAGCACAACAAATCAGCTAGACTAAGATGAGCATACCCTAATAAGATAAGAAATCTAGAAAACGGAGCTCGGCCATATCTCTGCAAACAATAACACACAATCACACAATAGGGTGGGATAGGGTGACAGTGTTGAAAACTAACTTAGCTGGGTGGAGGGAGTGAGAGCTTGATAACTGACTGAATCTTTGTTTATCGAATCAACATCAAATACATGGAGTAATAGAAATGATTCTACATCCTTCACAGATATGTGTCATAAATGACATCCTCACAACCGTTAATGACACTTGTAATGAGAGAAAACAAACAAGAATAAAATTTACGTGTGAACAATTTACGAAAGTCTGTGAACTTTGAATAAATTTGTGATTAAATATTCAATATGCCTTTGAATTTTTATCATTTCCATTAACAGAAATATGAAAAGTCTTTGATCGATTCACTTGAATCTGAGACATCAGGGGATTTTGAAAGGGCACTTGTACTAACCGGTAGGTTTCTTTGTTTTAACGGTATCATATGATAATATGATAATATAATAATATAATAATTTTAATATCTCAATAAAGTATTAATAATGATTATTATTATTATTATTATCATCCGTCCCCTGGGTTCCTAATGGAACATAGGGCTTCAGTAGCACGTCTCCAGTGAACTCTGTTCTCTGAATTCTTTTGAACCTGGCTCCACGACAGCCCACAAGCTTTCATTTCCTCCTCATACGATCTTCTCCATGTTACCCTCGCCGCGGAAGCCCAACTCGTCGCTTCCCATCTAGGTTATCGCCTAACATATACTAGAAACTAACCATAGGATAGACATAAAAACGACCTTTAAAGTATTATATAAAAGTGGTCACAGCCGAGTGTGTAATTTTATTGAAGCTCTTGCCATCAGTACCTCCTGCTATATGTGTAACAAAAATAATTTGTACTCAAGTAGAACCTAACTAGCTGGTATTGACTTTAATCTTCATACCAACAATAATGGAATATAGGGAGTCAGTAGCACGTCTCCATTCCACTCTCCTCTCTGCAAACATTTGAACCTAGCTATTCGACTGACCAGGGGCTCTCATTTCCTCCTCACACGATCTCCTCCATGTCACCTTCACCCTCACCTCGGACGCCCAACTCGTCGCTTCCCATCTGGGTTCCACTCAAGCATCTGGCCTCAAGCGTGACATCCCCGAACCGTCTTCTCAGTGTAAGCCCAATCCAATCCAATCCATCTCCACTTCCTCCAACTGCATATTTGTTGAGCGAAAGGTCCTAGCTTCGCTGGTTTGTTGACAGAGTTCCTTGTTGCCTACTCTTATTATTATTATTATTATTATTATTATTATTATTATTATTATTCTGACCATATGTCAGTTAAGTTGATGATAATGTGTGTATATCTGTGCAACTGACATTGGGTCTGAGCCATATCGTCTGGAGTTTCCAACTACTGCCTTCTCTTGTCCCATGGACCGCAACCAGGTAATCTGCATCACGTTACGTGTCTCAGATGAATAGTCAAGAACTTCATGCATTGATTCGATGTTTTAGTCTGACCCCCCCCCCCAAACCTTTTCCCTGCTTGAACCTACTTCAGCCAACATTATATGACAAGGCGGATGGTGGTTAGGCATACGTAACACATGTCCCAACTATCTCAGTCGATGAAGGTTAACAACCCGCCTAAAACTCTACATGTGACTTCTGCGTTACTCACTTTACCCACTTAGGATTCATGATGCCTTGAAAACTGGAGTTTAACATCGTCAAGTGTTGTAGTAACCATGTGCCTACAAATAGTATAAGAGACATAACATGTCGTACCGCATCCATTATTGTCAGCTGAAGTGACGTTTTCACAATTGTTAGAGACGTAATTATGTCACTCTGAGAAACGAGTCCTGCTGATGAGACTGTTGTATTAGATTTATCTTGAGAACAGGACATAATACTGGAAAAACAGGAGGTCTAGTTACAATTTCAGCTTTAAAATATCCTGAATATCCAAGACTTAACGTTGCACATACAACGTCCAACAAGATCGGCAGGAATTTGTTCGTTGAAGGTTCTTTTTCATAATCCTTACGAAGTCTGTAGGACCTTCGATCCTCGTCATTCTCTAAAATTTCCTGAAGGCAAGCAGAATTATGCTCATTTCTCCAAAATATCCCCAACATTCCCTAGAATTTTCCTGATTTCTCCCAATATTTCTCCTAAATTGTCTGTTTGAAACATCCCAGACGTACCATTTTGTATAAATTCAAGGAAATTCTGGAGAAGCGCGTACTCTGGGGAAAATAGGGATTAATTGCTGCGTTTCTCCAGAATCTCTCTACAATTGTACTGAATTAACTGAATAAGAAACGAGAAACATCGACTTCAGGGGAATTTTAATCAGCTATAATCACATTACACATTCGACAACAAACCAAGTGACTTAGTGTGGAGCAAATATCACTTCATGTTCATTTAAGATGACATTGGTTACTTTTTCATGTCCTCCTGACTCAAACACCTTACAGTTTGCATTGGTACATGTTTAACTACTTATTTTAATCAGTAGTATATTGTTTTACGCAAAAATTAATCCTCCTTTACTATTTGTTTCGGAAAAATAGTACGCTCATGCCTAAATCGCCCAAAAACATACTCTGATCTATTATATAAAGCTATGAAGGGTCTTGGCACAGACGATGGTACACTGATGCGTATAATTGTAACTAGATGTGAGGTAAGAATTTTTTGAAAAAATTGTTGAAAATAAAAGTAGAATTCCTTGACATTTTTATCAATATGTGTTATCGTAAATTTGAAGCTATACGGAAGTTTCCAAGAGTAACTAATTGAATCATACAGAAAGGAAGTAACAGTTTTGTTAGCTTGAATAGCGAGTCATGCACTAAAGATGTTGTTGGCATTATAGGCAATCTAAGGAATATAGCACACAATGTAGTGAAACTTCGACGAGGATATCGTTTGCTTCAAGGTCAAACAGTCGAACTGGTCAACTTTGAACTATATAAATGATGTAATATGTAAAAAACTAGACTTTCAGCGAAATCGACGTATAACGGTATCCCTGCTTCAGATACTTATAAACCTTGTGGAATCAGGTTGTGCGTAAGTATAGTCGTAAATCGTAGGTTAGATGTGAACATACTCAGCCACCTTGTACACATCTGTGCAGTAAGCAATGGGTAAATTATACTACCTGGCCGAGGTTTGAATTCATGACCTACAGGTTGATAATCATCTCTTCCAACCAATGAACCACAGTTCCGCTGACCAAGAACAGATTCAACTATCATAAAGTTTCATTGGGAATCGAACATCTTCAAATGGATACCATCAAACATCGGGTGGGATTATTCACATCTAGTACATGAAGTCTGATAATAAAATCAACTTTATATCTTAACAAAGAACGCTTGAATGATACATTTTGGCTTATTAGTCTAACCCTGAAGTTATAAGTTCGTATCTGACCTACTTAATTTGTTCTAATACACGAAATTGTATCACCCTACTGATACTCTAGTTATGCCATGATCGAAATCCTCTAGTCTCTAGTGAATTAACTACTTATTCCAAGCATAGTACTGATAATAATTTGGTTGGTTGTGGCTAGCAGGGAAACTCAGGACCCGTTTCTCATCCCATCTAGGACTCGTCAGCTGGACGTAGCTGCACCCCAGTAAGAGGCTACGTTGTCCTCACGGGGCTCAAACCCCGTGCCCATCACCTCAATCACTAAGGCGTTATCCACTATGCCACAGAGGGACGATAATCACTTCTTGTATAACGGGTGATAGTTATTACTATTTATTGACATACTTGTTATTCTCCGTTGTTTTGTTGCATCGAATTGTTCGACCTCTATTGGGATATGGGCTCATATGCTGATGCCTCGATATTACCTGAACGCTAATTATGATAATCTAGTTGGTTGAATCTTCTTCTGCTAACCACAATCAATCAAATTATCATAATTAGCATTCAGGTAATATCGAGGCATCCGCATACCCAGCCTGTATACTAATAGAGGTCGGACAATTCGATCCAGCACAATAAAACAACGGAGAATAACAAGTATGTCAATAAATAGTAATAACTATCACCCGTTGTACAAGAAATGGTTATTGTTCCTCCGTGGCATAATGGATAACGCCTCAGTGTTTGAGGTGGTTGGTGCGGGGTTCGAACCCCGTGAGAACAACGTCGCCTCTTACTGGGGTGCAGCTACGTCCAGCTGACGAGTCCTAGATGGGACGAGAAACGGGTCTTGAGTTTCCCTGCTAGCCACAACCAACCAAATTATCATAATTCACATTCAGGCAATATCGAGGTATGTCCGCATACCCAGCCCATGTACCAATAGAGGTCGGACAATTCGATCCAGCACAACAAAACAACGGAGAATAACAACTATGTAAATAAATAGTAATAACTACTGATAAGTTTATTGTCTGTTAAACTTTTGTTTTCTTACTTCTCTTCTAAAGATCGATTTGAAGTCAATCTGTAAAGAATTTGAATGTGAAACTAATAGTACAGTTGAAGAATGGATACGTGATGAAACATCTGGTGATTATCGAAGTCTATTACTTGTCTTAATTGGTGTTGAATAAAAACTATGGGATATAGGTTTGACACAAAATTACATTGTTTCCCAGCTTAAAAACCATCTAAAACTATTAATTGATGATTTTCTTAATAGAAAAATAAACGCTTAAGGTGCAAATACCCTTTTTTTTTTAAGAGTTGTTAAAAAAACTTTTTTTTCTGTTATATTTAATCACTTATTTTCTTCACTTCAAACTTCATCTAACTACATCAAATTGCTTAACATTAAATATTCTTTCATGGACTTAGTGTCTTTATTCATTAATCGATTTGTCGTTAGTTCCTAATGATGTCAATTATGTGTACACAACACAGGATTTGATGTGAATGCGGAAAAACTTGGCATAATGCAGACAAAATTGCAGGACAGTTGTCTGTTATGAAAGCACTTACTCTGTGGCTTCCAATAAATAATCTTTTAGAACTTCAGAAATGTACCAATCAGTTCTGATGTCGCACTGATTATGAAAGAGGAAGCTATAAGGAATAACCATGAAGTTGATGTCGATGGCTACTAACTCGTAGTCTTGTAAATGTCATCGAGACGCAGTAGATCAAGACAATTTTCAGCTGATCGGCTGTAGCAGAAAAAAATGATTTCAAATCTCTATCCTGTGTGATAGAGAAGGATGTTGATCCACCTTGACTGATTATATGCTCCTCCTACAACAACATCGTTACAAAGAAAAATTCATCTACCGGTCAAAATACACTTAGCGAAGAGGCGATAACGCATATTGAACACATCTTGACTATTCAGTCGTTTACCACAGTGTGCATAAACGAAATCAACAGCATTAAATACAGCCGTTCCGGATATCAGCAATGGTCTTATGCTCTCCGATTCAGCTCCTGTCAACTCCCGTGCCCACGAACTATTGTCATAAAGCAGTGAATTGCAGGGATGATTGTGAATTAACAGCTACCGAGTAACTGTCCAGAAACCTTCTAAGAACTTCGTGAGCACGAACGCCCGACAAGAACATTTCAGGGGTATTTTGCGAAATATATAATCAAAACATACAGGACTGATCTCCTTATCACTACACCACCTATTGATTAGCGTTCACTGGCCTTAAAGCAAACGAACTTGATGTAAGCTCTTCAGTCACCTTGCAAATGTGAATCTTGCACATCGTAGTGTGTGCATGTCTGTTTCTCAGACTCCTTCAGGGCGACCATCAAAGATTCTAATGACGGAAACGCGGCAAGAAAAAAATCGACTCGTTTTTGGGTACAACACTTTGGACGGTATCGTCGCTCATCATGAAAACGAAGCAACCCATCCTCAGTTTGCTCCCTTTTATAGTACCTCTGGATTTCGTGCAACCAATAACATGCGACATTTCATCGCCTATTTTAATTGGACAACAGGTGACACAGGGAGTCAAGGGGAAGGGGTAGAAAATAACAGTTTAAAAAAATTATTACCGTGGACCAAATGTATTTCCAGAAGCTGGTCATGACATATAATAGTATCATTGGTATTACATTGAATTGTGGTAAAACATGAAAGTAGCAGTAGTGTTGGTGAGCGTTGCTGATTACAGTGGATATAAGTAGTATATTGAAAGGTCTTCAGTTAGCATCCACTTCACTTCCGAATGGTTGACCCCACAGGTCACGACTTCTCATAAGAGCTTCCCGATATCCATCTGGAAGCAAGTCACTAATGACTGCTGAGGAGTCCCATACTAGTTGGACGAAACAGCTATCCACTGCTCCCAGATTTTCAATGGTTCCCCAACTGATGTCAGTCCATGATGAATACTACCTCTAAATTAAAAATCCCCACTCATCTCAATAGTTTTTGCAAGTCAAATGGTAATCCAGAGGATAGAAATGGATATTTAAAATCGAATGGGTTGGGGAGAGGTTAAATGAGTATGGATAATGGTAGATTTCAGTTAGGAAGATAACTATAATAACAATAGTAATGTTGACATATGGGTGAGAACTGAATCGACTGAGCGTTGATTACGTCATTGAAAACAAGATAGTTAATAGTAGTACTTACGCAGACAATAGGAAAACAAGGTGTATATTGAGATGATTAGTAATGATAACATTGGCTGATAATAATAAGGTTAATTAGACGAAACAAATCAGGGAAGGAAAACAAAATATCAGATAGGCGATAATTAATAGCGAAGAGTGAAATAAGAAAGATTAGACAATGTTGTAATTATTACCATGGCAGATTCAGGCTGACTACCATTTCCTTCTGAATGCAGAGGTTTGGTTTAACAACTCGAATTGTGAAGGCTTCTGCATATCCAAGCTACTTCTCATTTGCTGTCTACTGATGATAACCTTAAAGCTCCTCGGGGTCTTCTTTTCGGCATTCTTCAACCATTTCGGTATGTGCTTAACCATTCCGGTGGACAGATACCTTTCTGTATGACCAATGTATTTTCTTCCGCGGGTGCATTCAAATTGATATATGTATTTAGATGTGTCAAGGATCGGAGTCCTGTCTTTGCCTGATTGCTGCAATATCCTTTTGGTGGTGCTGAGAAGAACGAGTTTAGCTGTGTAGTAAGTCCTTCTGAAAGACTTCGCCAGTCTTCGTCTAGCTACCTCTAGCACGTTGTCACCTTTGAATGGCAAGGTGACATAGGCTAGTTTCTTCCGCACTGCTGGAGCCGTTGTTCTTCTCCCTACCCATTTTGCATGCTTATTGATAAAGCTTTTGAGCACCCATTCTTCACCAGCCCGCTTTTCAAAGTCCCTATTTCGTAGTCTAGTGTGCTGTCGGAACAAATTTTCCTGGGCTCTGTTACACAGCATTCTAACTACATTCACTTTGCATTGGATCGAAACAAAGCTCCTTACAGGAAGGTACTGTTCTGTTCATGAAGGTTTCCTAAAGACGGACCTTTTGATAGATTCATCGATTCTTTCCACTAATGTGACATCTAAGAAATTAATCACATTATTTTCCTCGTGCTCAGTCGTAAAGGTCAGGTTTGGGTAAGAGGGCGACAGAAATCATAGAAAGTTACCACCTATGAGTAAAGATTCCCCTCACAGAAACTCAAGAGACAATGTAGGCGTATTAAGAGCAAATCAGGATAGAAACAGAAGAGGAAATGAAGCACACTAAGCAAATGACTGTTTTAGTTGTAGGTGTATAATATTTGATGACTTGTCGTTTTCTACAGTTATTTACTTCTGGTGACTCCACTGCACTTACTGCTATATCCATCAGCTGTCTGATCACATTCGCCAGTTTCTCAATATTCATGGATTAGGCTGAGTTCACTAGTCGTAGCTGCTGGGGAATGGCATTCGAGATAGCCAGCAACTGAGCCTAAGAGTCCTCATTTAAATTGGGAAGTGCTCATCAAAGTGGTTTTCTCAACTTCACAGCCAATACCAGCGGATCTTTGTCTATTCCATGTTTCGTGTTCCGGAACTGCTGCATCACCAGTTTCCTATTCGCTAGGCTGTCAAAAACTCCACCACCAGTCGTTCAATCATTCTTTCCCAAGTCTTCTTCCAATCTAAGCGTTCCATGCCGTCATATACCGCTTTCTCTGTACCCCTTAACAAAGTGCCAAGGACCATGACACTCACTCCTGGTTATCGGACACCCACCAGCTCCACAACAGACTCGAAGTTCCTTAGGAAGACGTTGGTGTCTCCGCCCTCGGACACTGTAGGTCACAAAAACCTTCATCACTTCCAGAAGCAGCAATACCAATTGTAGAAAATGATAAGATATAGACGAAGGATAGAATGCTTATTATTGGCATCTTGTACAGTAGTCAGCAAATATTATACACCTACAACTAAAACAGTCATTTGCATAGTGTGCTTCATTTCCTCTTCTGCTTCCATCCTGATTTGCTCTTAATATGTCTACACTGTCTCTTGTGTTTCCGTGAGGAGAATCCTTACTTATTGGTGGTAATTTTCTATGCTTTCTGTCACCTCAACATATACTACTTATATCCATTGTGATCAGCAACGCCCACTGCAGTAGTAGTAGTGTGATTATTATTATTATTATTATTATTATTATTAGTAGTAGTAGTAGTAGTAGTAGTAGTAGTAGTAAAAATGCACAGGATTTGAAAATTAAACCGTGGAATATAACAATAGGAGTGGAAGATATTGTGACAAGTTTTCATGTGATTTCTCTGTTCACTTGTATACCAATTTGTGAATATATATTGATGTTATTAATAATAACCAAGATGTAACATCTAAATGTCCACTTTCGGTAGAGGATCTTATGAAATAGTTCAGTCTTTGCTTAAAATCTACATATTACAAGTTTAGAGATAGAATATACCGTCAGTCATATGAAAATGTGATGGGTTCACTAGCCTCTACAAATGTAGAGAATCTTTATATGAAAGCTTTGGAAGAGAGAGCTTTGAGAAGTGTCCAATGCCAATTTAGACTTTGGTATAGATATATGGATGACACATTTATCATTCTTAAGTAAGCAAACTAACAGGAATTCCTAGAATATATAAGCTCTATTTCAGATTCCATTAAATTCACCAGCGAAATAGAATTTAAGGATATGACTCTGAACTTTTCAAACTGAAGGTAAATTCAGTCTTGGAATAAGCTAAAAAAAAATCAACGCAACATTCCGATAAATATTTATACTTCCAATCGAATCATTCAACTAACTTAAAAGCCAATGTTGCGTTGAACCTATTAAACAAAGTGAAAAACATCGTAACCAACCCTATTGATTTAGAAGATAAAATCTACAGGATAGGAAATAGATACTCGAAAACGTTCTTGAACAACATTATCGACCAAATGAATAAAACAATAAGGGTACAATAAAATCATTGGCGCCATTTATGATGGAAAAGTAATTTTGAACAAATTAAAAGAGTATGAGTTTCACATAGTATTAAAGTCTGTTTTCAACCTTTAAAATTCATTAGAAAAAATCTTAGTCAACGTGAAAGATACAATTTCTAAGGTGATGCAAAATAACTATGTCTGCAAAATTAATTTGCATGGAATATGAGGCTAATTATTTTATTATAGGGTACTTGTAGGTCCTTAAAAATTGAACTGAATGAACACAAGTTATGTTATGTACGAAACATTCACCAAAGAATCAAGATGAATTTAAAACATTTAGAAAAACGAACAAAAATTCAGCTATGCATTCAATCAAAAGTTAGATATATATAATTTTGAGGGAGTTGTGGGGATTTGGAAATATTTCAAGTTGTTATTCATTGTAGACTGACATCAGATGAAGAG